AAAAAAAAAAAAAAAAAAAAAAAAAAAAAAAAAAAAAAAAAAAAAAAAAAAAAAAAAAACTTAATTTTAAAAATAAAAAATAAAAAATGAAATAGAGAAAAATACACAATTTAAAAATACACCTACTATCTCTCCTTTAATTGAAGGCTTAATACTCTGCCTTCACATTTTTTTTAACTAAAAAAAATATATCAATCCAATAAGTTCTAATAAAGTTTAATTTAAAGAAAATATTAAAGAAATTAATAATATTATAAAGGAGTGATCTAAAAGACACAATCCAGCCCAAGCCCTTTAGAATAGATCATGGGCTTTATCTCTATTGGGTTTGGGCCGTTGCAAAGCGTTCACCCATCTTCCTTTGGGCTTAGCCCTTCCAACAATGACAATGGAAAAATATGAACGCTGAAAGTCACCGCTAGTTGATATTGCCCTATTTGAGGTTTCATTTCGGGATTTCCTCAAGGTTTTAAAATGGATCCCTAGGAAGAGGTTTCTACGCTCTTACAAGGAATGTTTTGTTCACCTCTTCAACCAATGAGTGATCTCACAATTCACTGCCCAGTGTCTAGCTTTGGTACCATTTATCGATTTGTGCGTGTCATCCTTACACGAGAGTCATGTTAATCTTCTATGTATCGTTCTAATGTTATCGGATGTCCCTGACTTTTAAATATTAAAATTCTTATCTAGTTAACATGTACCTTTAACAAAGAAAGGTTCGAGTTCGCGCCATTCGAACATACCCGGACAGGAAATATTTAACAAAAACCCATCTTTGGCAGGTCAAAGTGCCAAAAAAATGCCAAAAGCACTCTACCAAGTTCCAAATCTAAAATGGGTTATAATTAAACTGCTTGTGCTAAAAGTTCTATATCCAAATATATAGAAAGAAATATTTGATGAAGTGAAACAACCAAGTCTATCTAACTCATATAACTAAAGTTGTTTCAGCTGCAGATCAATAAACACTAACGGGAAGATGCCTGCTGAAATATAGAATCTCTCATATTTGGAGAAGATGAAACACTTACCAGGAATTGAACTTGATGATCAAAGAAGAAAATCATGTAATGTCAGTTGAATGATTTGGAGTTCAAATGTTGATGAACTGACTGAAGAAGGGTTAGATGTGTCCTTCAACTTCAACTTTGCTTTGAAGTGTTTCTACGAATTTGTCCAGTTGATCGTTTGATTGATTCAATCCTTTGAAGCCTGATTTGCTCTCTGAATTTGGCAATGAACTCATCAGCCTTCTTATCTACATCTGGTCCTCCATCATTGCTCAGATTGCTAGAGCCTCCTGCTTCTTCATTACTTGAACTTCTTTCATTGTCTCTACGGTTCACATTAAAAGGTTCTCCATTGTCTTCCCTAATAAACTTTCCCACCATGTTATTGTCTTCTTCCTCACTTTCCATGTCGTCGTCGTCGTCGGTCTCCATGCCGAGCTTTTCAACCGGTTCTTTTTTATCGTCATCTGGAAACTCAATGGGGTTTTCTTCAAAAGCTTGGACATGGGTGTTCTGATCTATCATCTTCCCCTTCAACTGATCATTTCCACCAAATTCTCTCCCTCTTCTTGTTGGCTCATTCGCAACTTCTCCAGGTCTGATTTTTCTAATAGATTTCCCCATTGATAGAATATCATCATAATTTCTTGGCAGTGCTTCAGCACTTGAGTTAGTACCCATCACCATATCAATGTCATCTCCTGTATCACGAATTGATCTTCTGGGCTTGCTAGTAGTGACGCTTCTCTTCAAATCCTTTTGATGAGGTACATCATTGTCGTTCAACAAAGAGCTTGGTTTCATTGAGGCAATTCTTCGAACATGTGGCGGGGGTGGAGGTGGCGGCGGAGGCGGAGGAGACGGGAAGAAGCTCTTCTTCCTTACCGAATCCTCAGAACTCTTGGCCTTTAATTCTGGCGACACATTGGGTGAAGGAGATGGCTTCCTTGGAAATGGAGAAGGAGAAGGAGGAGATAGCTTAATGGCACTGGCTTGGAAGGACCTTGAAGTTTGAGGCCTAGAAGACCTAGAATCGATCCAATTCGATTCAGATTCCTCCATGGGAACAGCAGGGGAATACACAGGGGGATTATCAGCTTCTTCTTGCACCTCCGTCCTCCCCGATCTCGATCGCCATGGAACCGGGGATGGAAGAACGACATTTTCATTCAAATTATCCTCAATTCCTTCAAGACTCAGTCCCCCAAACTCCCCATTCGAACTCCTCTTCGAATTGCTCAATAATCTTCCCGAACTCACTCTCGACGTAGATCCAGAAACAGTTCTAGACTCATCGTCTACAACAACTTGAGAATTCAAGCTACGAACAGGAAGAAGCAGAGGCTTCTCACTCCTAACTCTCTGCTCATTAACAACAGGACTTTCTTCAGCAACAACCAAAGACTCATTCCTAAAATACCTATTACTCCATGTTTGGACCTTATTTCCATCAGACGAAGACATAGATTCATCATTAGCAGATGGAGTTTCAGCCTCATCATCAAAAACAGACGAAACATGAAGCAAACCAGAAACATAAGACTGAACATTATCAAAATTAGAGACACTAATTCCATCCTCTTTCTCATCGTTTCTCCGGCTAAAAAGGCCGTAAGAAACAGCGATTCCGACGAAAAGAAGGTGCAGAAGCTCCCAGGTTCTAGTGAGTAAAGTTTGATTAACAAACTCAGGGGCTTGGGAAGGGACTAGAGGGAGAATCACTAGAAAGAAAATCGCCATTAAAATTTTATACAAGATATGACTATTGAACTTACTTGGAGTAGCCTGATCTTTCCCTGGCGGCAGATTTGGAGGTTTGGCGGGAACGTCCGATTCCGCCATTGAAGAAGGATGAAGAAAAAGGCTCTTGTTCTTGGCTGAACTGGAGGGAAATGGAGTTGCAGAGAAGAGGAAAACGGATGAAGAAGGTGAAGGTGAAGACTTAATGGCGAAGGAAAAAGTAGAGATAGAGAGAGAGAGAGAGAGTTGCAGAGAAGAGGTAAGGAGTTTGGGGAAGGAACAAAGAACAATTTGAAGCTTTGCTTTTCGAACAACTTTTTAACGGTTCCCGTCAATTGACCAATGTACCCTTCTCTTTATCTTTTTATTTAACTCATAAATTAATAAAAACATCTTTAAACTAATAATTTTTTCTTAAAAAAAAAAATCAATAATACTCTTAAACTTTAATATAATAATATTTATACAAAATAAATTTTTTAATAATATTTCAAAAATAACATTAAATTTTATTAATTTTAAAAAAATATTTAAAAGTATCAAAAAGTCTTAAAATATTTAATATATTGATGAAAATCATCTATTTACAGTCACATAAATTATTCATCTTTCTCTTTAATTTTAAAAGTATTAACCATAATTTTTTTTTGAATTTTTCAAAACTTTTAAAGATATTAATATTAGTTTCGAAAGTTTATGAATATTTTGTTGAAACTAGTACTAATGGTTTCGTTCATATTACTAAGATACCAGTTTTGTTGAAGTTTTTAAAAAAAAATTAATAAACTTTTAAAAATGGAAGTTTTTTTTTATTTTTTTTAAAGTATTATTACAAATTAAAAAAATTATGGGCATTTCATGTCAATTTAGTAATATTTTTCTTTATAAAATAATAATAATATAGTTTAAATACTAATTTTGAAGGCTGGTTTTGATCCTAAATTCTATTATTTTTAGCTGCAAAGAGGGTATAACTCGAAATAAAAAATGGGGGACACAAATGGCAATAAGGAAAAAGAGAGGGTCAATGGGTTGCGTAGAAATGGTCGGGATTCTTCTTTCACTAGGAAGCCAAATATTTAAAAATAAATAAATAAATTGAATAATTATATTCTCTAACATTGGTGAATATAATTATTCTATTAGTATATTATTATATTATCGAATAATTTTTTTAATTTAAATTCTTAATATTTTATATATCTTTTTATATTACACTTAATAACTATTTTTTCTATAAGTTTTTATCACAACGTTTAATTTTTTTAAAGAAATAAAGTATTAAAAAAATATAAACTTAGTCCAATTCAATATATTAATTTTATGGATTAATTAATTTTGAACAAAAATAAAATAAAATTAAAAGATTTTAGAATGAATTAATATATATACCCTCTCAATTCAAATTTATAATACCAGCTTATCATTACTTAATTTAATGGAGTGTAGAGGATTAGAATTAAAGATTTAATCTATTAAACTTAGTTTGACTATTAAACCTAAGTCAAACGTAAATTAAACTACGGAAGAACTTATAGTTTGGTCTGTCTAATTTGACAATTAGCTGACTGATCAATAATATCTTCAAAACATAAAACATAATCATAAAATCTAAACAGGTTTGCGTATATATAATTTTGAGTTTCAATATATATTATCGACCAACTTCGAACTACATTTTTGATTTTCTATCGTACTCGAATTAGAATCTCTAATTTTTTTTTTTATCGATGATACCTTAAAATTTATTATTATCGGGTATCTTGGAATAAAAAAGCAATAAATATTTTTTCAAATTGTTTTGAAATTTACAAATAATACTGAATTATAAAAAAAAAAAAATTCAGATTAATAATAGCATATTAATTCTATCATTAATTATCAAAGAAATCCAAATCCATCTAAACTTAATAACTTAATTATTAATATTGTGAATATTCAATGTGACGGCCTGTGAGTTATTGTTCCTGAATGCAAAACAACCTTCAAACACGTGGCCGTAAATCAATGAGCTGCCACACAATATTTCTGACCTTCCGTAACTTTAACATTACCATTCTGAACCAATTCGTCGATTCTTCTTACAGCATTTGCCGGAGTTCTTCTCTCTCTACCTTTCTCTCTCATCAGTCGGTTTCAAACAATGTTAAGCAAATGGTTGGCGTAGAATCCAATCCATGGTAGCCTGTCAAACTTCAACCAAAATCTAGGGTTCGTTTTCGAAGTATTTCGTCGATTTTTCCCAATTTTGTTCTTCCCCTAATCGATCGTCATTCGTGTTGACCAATCGCAGCTTCCATCGAGATATCATTTTCCGGCTGCCGGTGGGTGGGGACTTCTTTGAGAATTTCATTTTTCTGTATTTCTCTGTGGAGATCTTCTCCGATTATTCCATTTCTGGGATTTGGTTTAGGAATGAATGTTAGGTTTTCGCGATGGGGGAGGCTAATTGTTTGTGTATAATCATGCGTTTTGGTTGAAAATTTGGGGCAAACGGGTGTAGATTGCTGGTTTGTTTATGTGTTTGAGATATTATTCGATTTTATTGTAATTGATTTTAGGGGCTTTTTATTTGAGGCTATGTATATTGAGAAATTGAAGGAAGAGGAGTTGCAGAGTGGGGAAGAGGGGAATTCAGGTGTTATCGTTAGTAATTTGGAGAGCCAAAGCATTGTTAGGTCTGATGTGAAAAGGATCGTTGTTGGAGTTGGGGCTCGTGTTCTTTTCTACCCAACTTTGCTTTACAATGTTTTCAGAAATAAGCTTCAGACGGAGTTTCGATGGTGGGACAAGGTTGATGAGGTATATATCTTTGATCTTGACAGTTCTTCCTAACCCAGATGACAAAAGAATGCATAATTATCAGAGTGCAAGTAATATGCGTTGAAAATGCCGTTTGTTTCTTCAGTTTATA